ATAATGGTTTTCATAATTAGTTGAACTTTGAAAATGTCTACAATAGCTAAAAATGAGAAGCTCATCGGTTTTATGATTTTGTGAACATTAAACCTCCGGATAGTTTTTTGTATTTGGTCAAGTTTATTGACTAACTGTTTTGTAAATAACTATGAGTATCTTTATGTTATGTGCGAATACAGCTTATCTCAGTAGTTTACAAGTGGTTCCATTTGATCATAAGTGATATGCTTTTCTCAAGTCAATTTACACACGGAATAGTAAGTTATTTCCAGTTACGATCAAACAGTAACCTTGATTAACCTTTAGGTATATTTTTCCCGCTAATGCATATTTATTCAGTGTAATATTATTTGCACACAAACACGCTACCATGTTTCTTCATCCAGTCTTGCTATTTCAAATTCTACCGATTTTTATTTTGTTTCTAAACGTTTTCTAACCCCAGTTAATATTCGGATTAGTTCCAACGTAGATTTCTCTGTGAACTAAAATCAGTTAGAGAATCACCGAAAACCAGAGAGCAATGAATAGCTGTTTCCTCCCAATTTGAAACTCTGCGGCAGTATGCACCGATGACCACACCGCAAATGGGGTTGGGGACCTTTTGTTCATCATCCAATCAACTATGTCGGAGTTGAGTAGCTCATGAATTCTCACTTTTTCAATTCAAGATATGTCGGTACAGCCAAATCACATTTACTAGGTAAAATAAAATGATTTTACTTGCCTTATACTAATTTTTCACTTAAATAGACAGTTTCCACAGATGAAGGAAAAAGTTATTTCATCATGAACTGACACCAGTTTAAATACCTTCGAAAACCAGGGAGTACTGGACAGCCGTTTCGTTCTCGAAACGGCATCGTGAAAACAATCAAACTAAGCCACTGCCGACTATTGATTGGCTCGAGAATGGATTTCTTCAAGTTCTTCTGAGGATTCACGACTAATAACTTACATCAATTTGGATGTGAGGACAGACAGATAGGATTGGATAGCGGTGACACGACACCGTATGAATTGACGGAAGTTAGAATTCATAGTACACTCGATTCCAACCAGGTAGTTGAATAGTAGTGGCTCACCTCATAACATGTGGGATGTGGGTTAGATTATTGGTTAACATCATGAGTAAGGAGTGCTGAAGAGTTTTAAACTAGGAAGAAACAAATGTTCCCAGTAATTTTCTAAATGGGGTCTGTTTGTGACGGAGTCGACCATGAAATCAAATATTTAAGAGTTTGATTTTTCTTACCCTGGTCTCTTCATCAAAGATAATGTTTCTTTGGATTACCAGACAGCCTCGTAATAATATGGTAGGCCATGTACCATGTGTCTATCTTTTCATTTGATTATCTGGTGCCTAAACTGACAAAAAATCAATTAAAGACATTAGTCAGTAAACAACACATATTGCGGTGTAACTACTTGATTTATCGTCATAACCAATTAGAATTCACCTCTCTCTCTCTCTCCCTCTGGATGTGTACTTTTAGATGTTAATATAGCCTTGGGATAGAAAGTCGATCGTATGTTTTGTTTTCAAAATGAGTGTGTATAGTTTTTAAAAATATATATATTATTTCTGTTTTCAGTAGTAGCCTTATTTTCAAACTTATTAATTGTCTTATCTAAATCAAAGAGATAAGTTCTACAAGGAGGTAAACAAACAGATGAATATCTCGTATTTAATTTGCGTTTCATAATAGTTCACCCGTGATAAAAGCGAGTTAATAAGTAGAATAAATTATCAGTATATATATATATATATATATATATATATATATATATATATATATATATATATATATATATATATTCAATGTTTCATATGTAATTTGTAAGACTATACAATTGGCCTAGACTAAAGGTTCTTTCATCAAATTTCTATTGTTACGTCATGTGAAATGACTATGTTAATAATGGTAATTTCTCGCCATTTCAACTTTTTCCTGTAGGATTAAATCTCATCGTCTCAGTCTGTTTGTCAATATGAGAATAGTATTCCACTGGCTAGTCATTTAATGTGGACCAATAACAACGATCATTGTAGTTCAAAACCATTGATTTGGAAAGAACTCGAATCAAGCATTATCCAGTCACCTCCAAGTACTTCATCCAATTGATATTATTCCAAAACTCCCGGTCTCATCAACGCAACTACCCATCAAATGTGTCCTATTTTGAATAATTTAAATAATTTGCAGGAATTACATCAGATAGACGTAATATTGGATGAAAAGACTCGGAAAAAACGGCATGGAATTATATTGTCTTTTTGACATACTTTATATCCGACTTGTTATCAGGATTTATCACCATCATTTTGGAACTTCATTGAGTACGCTTCCACTTGTAGAAACAATAAAAAGTGTCGTTTATTTTCCGTTTGACTGTAAGTTAATAGTTTTATGTCTAACACTTTCACCATCACATAATATGCAAGCCAAATAGGCTATTATTGTATTTTAGTCGTATGAACATAAAGTCTTTGACAATTCTTTCTAATCCCACATGAGATGAGATGCAAGGGAAGAGAGGCGTGTATGAAGAGTTCCCAAGTCCGACAGAATGATTTTTGCCAACTTTTTGCAGTAATTCAATTTTTTACGAGTTTGCCACGGATTGATATCAGTTACAGAAAACATTGAAAACAAGGGAGTACTGGACAGCTGTTTTGTCCTAGCTTGGGACTCTTCAATGGCACGCAACCGCCAGGGTTCGAACCCAGGACCTTCTGATTACAAGGCGAGATTGCAGACCATTAATAACTTTTTATCTGTACTCGAAATCTGAAGTACGCTCAAAGAAAATTCACTACCAATCATTTATTTATCACAGCATATTTGACTAAATGGAACCTGGAAGCGAAATAATGTAAAACAAAGCGATTGGTCGTTATTTATGTGTATTAGCCAACAGTTTGCCAAGGAAGTATCTGAAAATTGTTCAAATTTTAGTGATACTAATGAGTAGACTAGATTTCTGATTGTTAGAGAATGGAGCAGTGACTGAAAGGGGAAATACTCACTTCCACACCCATCGACGCTAGTTCCTCCTCGCTCTCGCTCTCAAGTGTATTTGTTCAAGCGAACCGCTAAATTTAAAGCAAGCAACAAAGGTTAATGAAGCAGGACTTAATGAACTCAATAAATCCTTTATCAACCTTTGTTGCTCGTTGCAAATTCGTATCGGGGACTGCTTAATACTTTGAAACTAGAGCAAGAGATATCCCCACCTCTTTGATAAATTTGAATAAAGTATTCAAGATGATATTATGTCAAGTAGTCCGAATCAAGGAAAGGCTGTGATCTACTATCTATCACACACACAATTCTCTACACAGGTGAGTAATCCAGAGAACTCTACCTCCCATAACAACCTTTGTTTTGAATTGTGGAAGAGGAGTGTCACTTGCTTGGTCTTAGTAAATTAAATAAACAAGTTCTTTATTATGGTTTCATTAATGTTGGAAACAACGGATGCTAGGTTCAGGTCTCACTGAGGATGCTGGCACATTCAGATGACGAGTCCCGAAATAGGACGAAATTCGCATCCTGGATCCCACTGTTAGGCAACAGCACGTAAACCCTCTAACATCATCAAAGCGTCCGTACCAGATGCCAATGTTTCAGCAGAGACCGAATCGAATTGAAAACAGCATTGTTCGCTTATATGACTTGTTTTAAATTTTAACAATTAGAATATCTAATGTAGAATATAGTCGGGGAATAACCACTGGTTTCAATTTCATAAATAGTTGAATGATGCACAATTGAGTGACTACTTTACTTCCAACCTAAACGTTAATTGTGTGACATAATCTAACATTTGACAAAGACAGTACGCTAACTAAAGATAGCCTTTTGCGTAAGGCTATGCCATCTAATATAGCAGTGGTAAAGTTGGCAAGGAATGGTTGAAATGAGCAGGTAATCTCCTAAATTTTAAATACTATGAGGAGGTAGACAACAAAAGAATACAAACTGGACTTTAGTCGCGCATACAACTTGAAGACAAAGAGCATATTATGCGATGACTATTACATTCTAAACAAACAAGGGTGTAAGTGAAGTCTTAAGAAAACAAAACAAATACTGACTTGACGCAGCGTCAATTACGAAAAACGATGGAATCAATAACTGTTTCTCAAATAGCCAGCTAGATTTCGTTTAACTTGATATTAGTCAAAAGAGATCCAGTAAGAAGTCTCAGAGGACCAAACAGAAGCTAGACTCTTGCCATGACACATTATTTTCTCTATTCATCGAATCCCTAGCGACTTACAAAACAACTTATTACCAGGATATAGTCGCCTCAACTCACACTGTACGGACGATATTGTCCTTCTAGGAGAAGACACTGGAGAACACCTTGAGCCGACATTTTGGACTGTTCACCATGCAATTCACTCCTGTTAAATTTAAAATGATGCTTGAGGACTGGTTTAAAATAGGGAGTGAACTGGTTAGGTACGTCGACCAGTTCACTTATTAAGGAATTTGCATCATCCCTAATAGATTAGTTTATGACGAAAAACAGCTCGGCATTTTTCAAATAATATTAATCTATTGATCAGAATACGTGCGTACTGAGCAGTAGTTCGTTCTGTCTTTATAGTTGTGAAATATGGTCACTGGAAATGGGACACTTGGAGATGCTAACTGTCTTCGACCATAGATGTTCGCGTGGGATAATATGATCAGTAATATTGAGCTTAGATGACGTAGCATCAGGTAAGAAAGGCAAGTCAAGAGACCAAATTGAGCAACCACAGCGGTTGAAACAGATCTATCAAATTCTCATATTTTCTCATGTGACTATTCTTCCTCTCTCATACATCTACTCTTTATGGTTTTTCCTTGAAACTTTTTTTTCCTTTCTCTGCCTTTGTGTGCTATATGCAGTGTGGTAACTTGGACTTCTGTGTAAAGTTCTCGGTTGAAACTCACTTAGTGAGCCAGTTGAACCCTGTGTATATGAAAACTAACTTTTCTAAACAAAACTATTAACACTCTTCTTTCAAATAAATAAATTGAAAAGCACTCGATATTTTGAAAGGAAAGTCAGCACTGGCTGCAATACATTTTCATGTCATAAATTACACATAGAAATCTGATGAATACTAAAAACAAAACAAACATGAAAGACTGAAAATTAATGCTAACATCTTCTCTGAATAACTGGCTAAAGAAATATAACAACAAAAAACAATCATATTTCTTTCGCAAAAGTTTATAAATAAAATGAAGAATTCTAAAGAAATAAATGTATTATAAATACGACCTGAGGCCCAGAGGTTATTAAAAAAATGTACAACAGATAGCAATGTAAGACTATCTGCATGTATCAGGAAATAGAACATGATGGAGATTTTTGGGAGGTATTATTAGGCGTTGGTCTTGATGATTGTAAAGGAGATTCATTTGAAAGTGAAGCAGACAAAGCCAACGCCAGTTGAAAGTCTTCTTCTTCTTGTAGTCTTTTATGTGAATTCTCATCGAAAGATGTAGTGCCGGACTGGAATTTGTTTGTCGATGACGCTCCCTATAAAACAAAAATAATTTCATTACAGAAAAAAGTAGTATAAGTAGTAGTATAGTATAATAAACAACATATTTGAAGACATAAAATTCACAAGAGAAGAAGAATTAGATAACAAAATCCCATTTTTAGATGTCTTAATCAGGAGAACCAACACAGGATGTTTAGAAACACAAGTATAAAGAAAATCGACGTACACAGATCAAATACTCAACTATACTAGCAATAATCAAATTACCCACAAAAGAAACCGTGTGCAGACATTGTTTAAAACAGTTCAAACACATTGTGGCACTCCAGAGTTGAGAAGAATGGAAGAAAAATACTTACAAACGGTCTTCAAGAAGAATGATTATCCACAAAATTTCATCAAAAAGTGTTTAAAGTCGAATCAAAACACCATCAAGGAACCATCATCAAAGACCACAAGAAAATTCATCCTACCATACATGAGAAATATCTCTGAAATAACAGCTAGAATACTGAAGCCGTTTGATATAGATATAGCACACAAACCAGTCAAAACGTTTAATTCGATATTATGCAGACCGAAAGGTCCAACAGAAAAAGGGGCTAAAATTAATACCATTTACAAAACAAATTGTATGAACTGTAACAGGCATTACATCGGTCAAAGTGGGCATCCCCTTCGAATCAGAATCCAGGAACACAAATCAACTGTGAAAGGACACGATAAATATTCTTTAGTATCAATGCATATAGACAATTATGGACATCAATTTGATTGGGATAATGTCAAAATCTTAGACAGAGGAAACACCAAAAGTGCCAGGGAATTCCTAGAAGCCTGATACTGAAACGAAAATGCAATTAACAAACCAACTAATAAAAAGTAAATCAGGTGACCAGAAAGTTTAAAATCCAAATCAATAGAAAGTGGTCAATACATATGTAAAGATGGTTACCGGGAGACGCAATTATATCACTCATGAAGAAAACTTAAATCATTTCACTTTATGCTAAATATTGCGCTGAAGATGTTGTCCAGAAGGACGACGAAAGCTCCGCAACTAAACCAACCAGCTAAGAGAACACTATTAATTGCAAAAGTAGTATACTGCCTACTATAAATGAAAAAATAAGGTATGTAATATATAAATAAACTATAATCGGGGTATTTTAACAGATTATAGTACAATTCGATTGATATAACGAGAGAATCTTGTCTTTGATTAACTACATACTACTCAAGATTTTTATCAATGACAGTATTTGCACCAGCTTCTGTCCATTTAGATTGACTAGATCATTCTACACGCTTATCACGTAACTTCAACCTCCATGTTTTGATCTCGACTTATTCATTCCATTCTATATTACACCACTTCATATCACGTAGTACACATTTACCAGTATTTGATTGGTTTTATAAATTCTCTGTTAGATGTACATCTCTTCAAGGCAATTCACTGAAAAGAAATTTTCCTTCGGTGTTATTTATTCTTTTGAATGGAACATAGGGCTTCAAGCATAAGTTTTACAGAATCAGTAGCGGTGGCGTGTTTTTACATGGTGGTTAGTCTCACGCCCAACCTTCCCTCTTTAGTGGATTTACTACTAGCTGCTAAGTGAGATTTAGGAGTATGTCAGGTGAGAATTAATTTTCGGTCATGTGCGTTATCGCAGAGCATTCTATCATCCAACCGTCGAGGCGAACTTCTCTGATGTTATGTCTTCTTTTGTTTATGACAATATAATAACAAAGAAGACAAGAAAGAAATACAGTCGATTTGGGGGTTAACTTTTATAAAAGACTGTTTTTCTTCGATGAGGTAACAAGACTTGCAAATACAAACCACCTTGATGCTTACAATTCAGCAGAGTCAACGCAAGCTTTCATTTCTAAGGCCGCACTTGTGTATTCTCTTCTAGATTACTATTGTTATTATTATTATTATTACATAAAATCTTTTTGTAGAACATAACTGCCAGTATGAATACTCCGTTGAATAAATATTAATATGATTGTACAGATTTTGAGAATAATTTGTTGAAAAGAAAATGTTCTTCACCTTCGCTGTAATCATTTTTTGCATAATTTTGACTCTACTACAAATACTTACACAAATGTAGTAATTGTTAGCTATTTCACGACAGCCGTGATGTGATAACGGTTTTTCAGCACAAGTGTTCTATACAATAGAGTGCGATCCAGCTAATACAACAAATGCTATTTCGTGGAAGGATAACTATTGTTTTTATTGGTTCACACGAAACAATTTATTGAACAAAACATTTGCCAAACTGCGCCATCTTTCGGAATAATCATTATATCCCGCTATTCAATAAAGGATGACTGTAAAGAGCAGCAACTCTCCCAATCCTCCTTAACAGCCGTGAAACATAGCTGGTGATAGTGGAAAATATGAAATGGGTAGCCATTCATGGTCTTTCATGGTAGGTGAAGCAATATGGCCAATAATCATGAGGTTAGACTTCGTGTTAGGTAAGCGGGCCAAGTCAATGGATGAGGCTGTAAACCTGCATTGATTGAGACGACTAGAACAAACAACAAAAACTTGACGAGATGTTTTCGATTTCTTTAGGGGATGATAAACACAATTTCTGAAACATTACAATTGTTATTCCTTCGGGTTTTTAGTGGAACATGGGGTTTTCCCTGTAGTCTCCAAGAATGCCAATAGACTTTCATTTCCTCACATGATTTCCTCCATGTCATCCTCCAACAACTGATTTGTCGTTTCTCATTCCGGTTCCACTCGAGAGCTAGCCTGGTGCATGGTGTCACTCAAAGGTCTCCTCACTTAGTGTGTTGTGTCTGATTCATCTCAGTTTTCTTCTGCATCTCTTTTGGGTAACGGATTCTTGATTGATTTGTTGCCCGAGTTCTTTGGTGATCTTTAGCATAGAATGAAAGCAATTGGTGATGAAAGTCTGGAGCATATCGAAAATGCTTTTGGTGACAGGTGCACCAAGTTTTTGAACCATGTACAAGCACTTACTTGTCATTAGTGGTGAAGATCTTTGAAGCATAATGTTTTTTTTTTAACTTTTTACTTAGATATATCCTTATCCTAGTTGGATAAAAGCATTCTGTCAATGTATTTCAAATTTAATAGGCATTATTAAAGATTTGTTCACATGTTATTAGTTAAGTGTTTGAATTCTTTTATCAGCTAGTTAAAAGTGTCAATGTATGGCTGAAGATAGCCAACCAGATAGGAAAGCAATGCACCCACAAAGAATAATTAATCCCTTGGTGCAACAACGGTACAATAAATAAAACTACCACACACTTACAGAAGTTACAAACTACATTATAAGATAATTAGGTGTGTAGATATGCAAACAAAAGATTTACCTTTGAAGATGTATTATTGCTATTATTGGAATTGTTAAAAACAGCTCTGTATATAGCTGCTGCACCAGCAGCTGACAATTTTCTTGAACTATTCTGATTCCCCTGAAATCCTTTACACGCATGATCTAATTCATTACGATGTGAGACACAGAAATTCAATTTGCACCGATCACAAGTGAAAGGTATAAGTTCTTTCTTTTTACAACGAGGCATACAACAAGCATTGCTAAATAGCTGTGAAAATATAGAAAAATATTAGGAAAAGGAGATGACTGAATAGTGGAAGTATTATATGAGAATGTAACAACTGCTTTTAAGTTGTAAATTGATTATTTTGGAGAGAAATTCACGACCTCTATTGATATGTTGACTCCTAGTGTGGATGCTTCGGTCATTTTTGTCCTGCCATTTCAATAAAAACGAAACTACGTACATGGTCAAAATTTAAGATTACAGAGCCAATGAAATGTGTGGTAATGATTCAGTGAGACAATTAGTCAACAAATTCCAAAATTTCTGTAGATATCACTATCCGCGAATAATATCATCCATTTTCAGTTTGAATTGTTTTGTTTTTTTAATTTATCACATATTCCGTGCTTCTGGAAATAGTAACCCTCTTTTCTTATTTCATCTCCGCTAACTTTCCCATTAACATATAAATTATCATTGCTTTTTTCAACACGTTGCTTTGCGAACTACTTGTATCTATTTATAAGTAGTACATATATTACACTATTAAAAGAAAAAATACTTCATCCAATTGGTTGTAGCTTCGCGACACTTCAACAGGGTTCAACCAAATAAACAGAAAAGGAAGCCGCTTGTAAAGCTGAGTATGAAGTATTATGACATCTGACATCTGTAACAGCAGTAGTCCTGGAAATATAATACGAGAAAGTGATGCTAGGGAAGTAATTTTTAGATGTAAAAAAGACAAATATACTCCAAACTACTCAACACTAATAACCATGGGTAATTATATATATATATATATATATATATATATATATATATATATATATATATATATATATATATATATACTGATTAAGTAAACAATATCCTGAAACCTCTCTAATAATACTCTTTACTTAGTAGAAACACAAGCTTTCCGAAGAATACCAAGTTGTTTACCTATTTAATTGCATTATGGTACCTCAAACTTAATCTAACAGAAATATATTAGCTTTCAATCAGTGTTATATGTCTTCTATCAAGGCATATTTTTAAGAATGAATGGTAAGAATTTTGGGCAAAAAACAATTACTCACTTTTCCTTTTAACTCTAAAGCTGGTTTTGAGCGGCAAGCTGCATCTATATGATTCCCTACCTGTACATCAGGAAGTTCCCCCGGTCTTAAAGGAACAATCGCTCCGCATAAAGGACAAACTGGGACTTGTTTGTTTTTAATATCAGGACTTTTACAGTTGTGATTATCATACAGATAGTGGTCCTTGCAGAAAACCCCGTGACACCCCGAGCATCGAAGGGGTAAGAAGTCTAAAATGCTTTTATATAATGATTCAGACATACCAAGCATTCGACAAGTTGACACTGAGCAATTCTCACCGAGATTGGGGAATTCCATTATTAGAACTTTGTGAACTTGACAAAATTGGGATTGGGATATCAGAAAATGCTAATTTTCTTGAGTAATAATCGACAGTTTGAATTCGTTCGGCTAATATAACGAGAATAAAAGAAAAAATGGCAGACCTGAGGATACATTTTTGGCAAACGATTACACCGCTTGATAATTAACTGTCTCATAAAAACTAGTATTCTCTGAGGTGTAGTAGGCGGTCATGAGTGGCCTCAAAGACATGGATACATTGCATATACAGTTACTGAATGTATCTGTCAAACTTTGTGGCATTACACAGCTATTACCATATTGTAGCGCAGTAACATAACTAAACCTTTCTTCTAGAGCTAACCACTCGTTATGCTACCCTCGGCTTGAATTCTTATACCCTATGACTGACCGATCTTCCATACCTCATACGGCTTTTTCAACATGAGAAAAATGGAACTCAGGTCATCTATGAAACATCAGACAGCTTATTGTAGGTCCCTCGAATTAAGAATACATGAAATTTCTGCGAGCCACTATGTATACGTGCTTTACAATTCTTTTTCATCCCACCTCTAAATTATCTGAAAGTATATTTGATACTGTACTTTTGCTTTGTGTAAGTTCCATTGACAAGCTACGCCAACATACATAAGGAAACTACCGTTATAACAGTCCCATATATATATATATATATATATATATATATATGGAGACAGTAGGTTCACATCTAATTAGTGTATTTTTCACCTGAAATGAATGAAATTCAGTAGGGATCTGAGCCACAACAAATAATTGTGTCAAAATATGTGGGAATATAAGATGCAAGGGATAGGCTAAGTAACAAGAGCGAGGTGAAACGTTATAGTCTCGCATGCCCCTTGACTGGAATTGATGTCTAACCTACCAAGCAACACACCCAGGCAAGCAGTTAAAAAATGATTTCATTACATAGGTAAGTAAATTGGTGAGCATATTTGTCTTCAGTAGAGTATATGCGAAACAAGGATAAACGACTCTCTTGTGTATCTGGTACTTTACAACTAAAGCATATATGGACTATAAACATCCAACTGAGAAAAGAGTAACATATTATCAAATGGGATGCGTTTTACTAACATATTCCGTTTGGATTTACATCTCCAAATATAATACCCTTTAAACAATAAACAAAGCAACTTCAAATACTAGTCAGAATCATTCTCTGGGGATTTATGACAACCTTCTGAACAACTCAGTCGCAACAGATAAAGGGGAAATCATATTGATATAAGAATAAAACTTGTCCACTGTGGTAGAGTATAATTCCATGAAGTCTCACTGTGTTTTACACTAATGTTTACTGATGACGTTTCGAGCAGAATTTATTGCTCATAATTATATCAAGGTGATATGATAAAATTATGAGCAATAAATTGTGCTCGAAACGTCATCAGTAAATATTACCGTATAACACTGAGACTTTATCAAAATAAATTTTACCCAAAAGGGAAATTATATTACCAAAATAACTAAACACCAGCAAATTCATGAACTGGATTAGTTATGAGTAACTGTCACTTGATAAGTAGAAAATATACTAGCAGTATGGAAATGCTGATAATGTTAAAAGTAGTAGAGAGGATTATTACAATTCATACAAAGGGAGCGTGTCCGTGTACTTGCTTTTAGATTATCAGAATTTCGGTTCACTAATTGTAGTTATTTTTTCAACATATACTTTCTATGCAAAGTAGTCACATTAGAAACCATAGGGTTGTTGTCCCTTACTACGTTACAAAAAATCCCCAATATTTAAGTACTCTGACGGTTTGTTACATAAAGGTTACTTTTATACACCTAAGCTGAAGTCTTATGCACTCTTCAGCACACAGATTGCATGCATCGAGATTTCATTTGACTGGTTACCGGTGACATGAAAAAGTGATGTTAAGTACGGTCTTACACGGTCAGTAATATCAATTCATATTGATTACTCGGTTGAGAAGAGAAAGTTAAGGGCATACGTTGATGTGCTTAGTGATGCATAGTAGTGGAAACTGACTGATGAAAATACCACAACGTTGCTCAACATATACCGAACGATGCAATTTGAGGGAACTTTACATGTTCCATCCAAATGGTCTATTTTAAATAGGCAACTGTAAATAGACATTACCAACCAGAACAGATTAAAATGCACTAGTTTTCCAGCAACACAATTACTACAATTTGCCACTAGGAAATCCTCCTTCACGTACACATTTTATAGTTTGGTCCAATTTTCCTACTTAACCACCAGACAGTTATCATAAAGAAACACAAAGAAATGATTGAAAAGGACAGTCCAACACTCCACAAAGCGAAGTTAAATTGGATCGGGAAACCGCGACGGATGACTTTCTACTACCAATCAGTTGGAAGTAGAACAATAAAGCAAATTACGCCCCCTGTCCCTATTTGGTTCCGGGACGATTGACTACTTGATGACTGTGTGAATAAAGAATACATTGCAGCCCAAATCACACAAAAATGGCCAAAAAGTGAACAGATGATAAGCATGGCCGATAGTAAGAAAAAACTGGCGGATTTCGGTTATGCGACATAATCATTTCTATCTTCACCTAGACTTAACCGGTATTTCACCATTATCGAATCACTGTTTTCCATTAGTTAACCATTACTTCCCTATTTTCACCATTGTTCAAACAAAATTTTCCTATTTTGACCATTTTTAACTAACATTTTCCAATCGTATTAACATTCTATCTGCCAGGAATCATGACCATTTTCAACACAATCTAACTGTTCTTAGCGAATTTTTGTCCTACTAGGATTACTAAAACATGCAAAAGGGACAGATGTTGGCAAAATAACTACATGGTTTCTCGAAAAGGCATAGAATCATAAATATAAATAGATATCACAACATAATCTATGGTAATCTTTTTGAGGATTGAAACTTAAGTTTTAACAATGAACTTTTATTGTACATTGGTAGTGACTTCCAAGTTGGAGAATCTTCCTCAGAGATGGATTATGTGCCCATGCTTATTATAATGCCAAATTAAATCTCACTAACCCTGAAATACTTCTAACATTCTATAGTGAGTAAATTCTGAATCTGTTCCGAAATGGATTCTTTAGTGGCACAGACTAGAACTCTGTCCTGTTTTTCAGCATGACCGGCACCAATTCAGCACCCTGTTCTTTTTATAGGCATTTTCAGAAGTAGATCAGAACCTAGTAGGTTTGCTTATCAGCGTTGTTCCAGCCGTCACAGATACTAAACACGGACTACTGTTACTTCAAAACATAATGGGTCGATAAAATCTTCATTTACCATAAAAAGGGTTTATTGAAGAATAGGTTGGAATAAGTTTAGAATTATTGGAAACTCGGGTGGGTGAGAACGCAGGCATAGGAATAAAACTTGTGCACTGTGGTAGAGTATAATCCCATTGTGAGTACAACTTATTTTGATAGTCTCACAGTGTTATACAGTAGTATTAACTCATTATCACTGATTACTTATTATTATCAGTGTATAACACTGAGACCTTATAAAAATAAGTTTTTTAATTTAAATTTTTGATTACAGCTTGATTCCACACTGTATTTTTGGTATAAGTATGGAATTTTCAGCATGGATATCGGTAGCCCAAATTTCACAGGCCGACCATAGATATCAGGTGTGCTTCGGCAAGGGATCGAACCTCGGATCATGTGCATGGTCGGCGAGAGTCCTAAGCACTGTGCCACCGACGTACAAAGTGCAAAAATGTGGACCATTTTCTGTACTAACATCAGCAAAGTGGATTATTTCTGGAAATGATATAATCAAAGTGAAGGAAAGGGTGGAATCTTTTTGTGGAGACATGGATAGTGAGAAAATATGGAAAGCACAGAAAAAGTGGTCATATATGTGAGATATGTTGAGTCCACTAGCTAAGTAAATTACAGTGTGTGTGTTTAACTTTGCTGTACACGGTACAAATGAAGAGTAAAATGCACCAGAGGTAGAAGAAAACATACAAACAATGGTTTAAATACTCAACACCGTAGCGATACCATACTTATAAGCCGCCAGAATTACAATGTCCAATAGCGGCGAAGTTAGGAAATAGATAGTGGCACACACTGTTTCCGAAGAGGTTGAGCATTTGAAAGGTCATCTATTCATATTGTGATTGATGGGTTTTCTTTTGTTTAAACGTTGCGGCTAATGAGTATTGCGAGCTTCGATATAATAATAATAAAGTCAGTTGGACATTATATTTTTCAGCTTAAGAGGATAAACTAATATATGGATAAATTTCATGGATATGATGAGCATTGGATCCACTTACAAAAAGAACATTATTGGGTAACCTGATCAAACAAGTATCAAGTTTGAAGATTTGGTCTTTTTCAATTATTTGTAACGGATGGATAAACGGGGCGTAAAGTAGCACTGTTTTAGAGGAAATTATTGACCACTAAAAAGATGACTACATCACTCTTCTTGGTTTGTTATTTTTTAACAGTAGGCCCTTACATGATAAATTAACACACAGACATACGAGTTAGCTGACCACTTCACTTAGCTCGAGATTATTTTGTTGCCAAATATACTGTAACTTAGTAGATAGCCTTCTGTTGTGCATACCGCCTGTTTACAGTCTACCAGCAGAAGCAACTAGTGGAAAGCAGTAACAGTACCTCATTATACCCGAATTCACTCACATGTAAATACGACTTTATACGTATACTACGTCTTCCAAGTCATCACTACTTTTTAACTCCACAAAAAATGATCATTATCCACATATGATTGGTGTGCAAATTGAGTGGCTTATTGCATATCCCCGTTATGATGCTTGCTGCCATGTTGCTATGGGTTGCAAGTGGCCTTAATTTGGCGGAAGATTTGATTTATGTAACATTGCGATTTAATAGACATAACTTAGGCTCATAGGTGAAAGAAAGTTATTATCCTGGAATAAGGGCAAGTCATTCAGAAGGTAGGGAGGACTTTATTTTTCAGTTCATTCGTGTGTATACTATTGCGCATTGAGTTACACTGCGATTCTACATGTAGTAAAAGATTATGAATACCTTGCTCTTCTCTTCTGTGTAAGAAAGTTATTTCACAAGACTCACTATATTAAGCTCAAGAAGGACAAATATAAATTTTTCCACTTTAGGGTTTTTAGCTAACTTGTCAACTGTGTAAGCCCCTTAAGTAATGCATTTGGGATGGATACTTCATACGGAAATCAGAAGTATGCATGTTGTACTATATCTTCTGCGCTTTCTGTATGGATTCGATGTTCATCAAGTATCCATTTAACAACTGCTGAATGTTGCATGCGATAGAGATAGGATTATAAATATTAATTCTAAGAATTGTTGTCCTTTCATTGGCAGCAATTCACAGCTTATTGAGTTTACATAAGTACAAAACCCATTTCTCACTTTGCTGAGACGACATTCACTCCGATTCTGGAAATCTAGTACGTTAGTATGTGAATTTGATGAACCAGAAGGTTGCACTCAACTGAGTCAAAACTCAAACTAAACAATGACAGAATTGAAATTTCCAAAAAAGATATCATATAAGGCTGATTTCTAAAATTATCGTCCTTATATTAGTTCACGTTCATCATAAATGCTGCCAGTGTAGTCGAAGATTGAACGATCAATTCATGGTTGTTTGCTCAAAACCAACTTCCCCAATTTTCGCCGAGGCATCAATACGACAGTCATCGTCTCATCGGTCGCTCTTCAGAAAGAAGTCAGGACAAAACCGTCAGAAGTAATATTGTGATTTATTATTGTAATATTTGTTCATAGACCTTAGTTGTAAAGTTGGCTATGTGTTGGTGTTAGAATAAATAATTCTCGAGTCGCCAAACTGGGTTCTGGTTTTTGCGTCCGTTGGTACTAAGCGTTTCTGAGAAGCTTCGAGGAACAGCGTGAGTCCCAGCGTAGCAAGAGCTGGGCATTAACGGTTTACGAGACGTGGCTAACACATGTTTTGAATCGGGCCTCATGAACTGTCAATGTCCGTCTCTTGCTACGCTGTGCCTCACGCAGTCCCTCGAAGACTTTCAGAAAATCCTTGTATTAGCCGACATGAAAACTAAAACACAGATTGGTGACTCAAGAATCCTTTATTCTAACGCCAACATACAACCAACAATAATGCTATTTTAGAAGAATGTCTACGAACAAATTTTATAACAATAAATCATGATATTACTTTTGATAGTTTTTTAATCTCTCTTCTGAACAGCGACCGATGAGACGATGACTGATGGATAGATAACTCCGCGAAAAATATGGGGAAGTTAGGTTTGAGCCAGAAGCCCTGAATTGATCGTTCAATCTTCAACTAAACTGACACATTTCATTATAGAATTGTCTGTCCCGCAATTTAGGGACTTATCAGGGAACAGCCTCGTCAACTTATTGTATGCTGATGATATTGTCCACTTTGGCTGTGAAAAGTGATCATCGGAATTGCAGATATGACAAGACTACTGGTTTATCGTTTTGAGTAAACAACCATGAATTGATCGTTCAATCTTCAACTGCATTGACACTCCCCACCATGAAACGGATCCATTACCTTTTTCCACGCATTCAATACACATTGACTTGGATGCCATTGAGAGAACCTGGGCGACACGGACAGAGCTGAAATGGAAAACAATCAGAAAAGCCAACACACCACAAGCATAACCATAGCATAATCTCACACATCAATGACGACCTGCGCCTTCCAGTTAAAGGCATCCTCTTGACATCTCGCAACACAATCGCCACTTGCTAGAATGACTCTTGCAGAATGCAACATGACCATAGCAGCACCTCACGATACTCTACGCACATCCTCTTATCTACTCACTACCAATTACCACTGAAATCGCTTGTCACTCATTCTGCCTCAGTTCTAGTAACGATGACGTATGCGAGCCTCAGTCGTTTACACTCTTTCTCCCCGGCGTGTGGGACCACAGCTAACAATTATCTCCGTGTGCATTTCATTCTCAGCAATAGCCTAGCCTCCCCGGCGTATACGACCCATCTGCTGTCTTTAACATCAATCAATTCATTCACGGATGTAGAAGAGTGGACACAACTTCAGAAGTAATCACGACGAAAATTTTAATCAAATTATGCAATAACAACAAGGTACGAAAACAACGAGTAAGCACAATTAATCCAAAATCACAAATTGAGAAGACGCACCACAGGTATACACAAAAAGTACAAATAACCTCGTGGATCATGTTTTGGTGGAATTCCTTTGAAGATTTGCAGGACTTACACCAGTACGCCTACAACCCTTCTCATGTTGACGATTGTAAGTTGAAGAATGTCCGGACACAAACAAGATTAACCAACAATTACGATAATTGGAACTCACACAACTATTTAACACGAACATATGTACAATCAATACATCAAATGTTGTGGATTCTGGCACGACAAACTACCCTTGAAGAACTGTAGGACTTACAGCAGTACGCCTACATTCCTTCTCAGGTTGATGATCCAAGTGGAAGTCGTCCGGACACAAACAGAATTACCAACAGCTAGATGACAGATGATACCAATTCAGTATATACAATATGAACATATGCACAAAATCACACACCAAGCAGGTTCAACTGATTTTCGATGCGCTACCCTTTGAAGAATTGTAGGACTTACAGCAGTACGCCTACAACCCTTCTCAGGTTGACGCCCTAGGTTAGAAAATCGTCGCAGAGTTCATTTGCTGACTTTCTTGTATCATCTATATCCTCAAATCTGAACGGCAACACCCTCTTGTCATTGTATCGTAGAATATAGATGACTAGCAAACACACGACGTATCTGATCAACCGAGCGTAGGCACAGAGTAATTTACACCAAAGATAATAGCATTCAAATAGTAACTTGGAACTAGAAATGCCTTTATTCATGCAAGTCAATTTAACAATTACCCTCTCGTACACACTTGGCTATCCTCACTAAACTGAGCAATATCTTTCGTCTTTTTCAAATTCACCGATACTATCATAGTCATTGCACAAGATACTTCAGTTGATGGCCGTCTTTCTCATTGTGGATGATAACATCAACGACGACTGGGTGACACAAGTTGATGAAGTTAGCGGTGGATCAAAAGCTGTTGTTGTTTGAGTTTCAGAAAGTTGGCTACCTCCAAGACCACCACCACTGCTGTCTTTTACTATCAGCTCAGGTTTAGCACTAGCATCTGATGATACGTGGGCTACATGCTGATCACTCACACTGACGGTCTCACAAGTATGCATGCCTTCTGAAACTGCACCTGCATTTATTTCTACTTCACGTTCAAGTTGTACAGGACCTTTGTTCAACTTAGCAGTAGTAGGCATATCCCTCATCTCATCATGATCAACCAAAGACAACTGTGAAGTATCATGATCATTATCACGAATATTCACTTTACCGTCAACTTCATCATTTTCAAGCTCTTTAATAACAGAAGTAGACAATTTTGGTTCCTCCTCGCAAATCCTATAAGGTTTTATAACTTCACTCTGACTGGTAATACCTTGTAAACTGGCGGACTCAGCATTGTCCTGGGACTGTAACTCTCCTCTGTGACACTGTATTCAACAATGGCTTACCAGTTGCAATTACAGACTTCTTCACCGCACCGTTATTGTCACACAATTCGCATTCAGGCCTGGAGTTTACATTGAGCTTATCACTAAACTTGCTCACTGGTTCACAGTTCACCTTTGTATGCACCTCTTGCAAACGTGTAAAACACAACCATGTTTGTCTTGCATCTTGTAACTTATCATTTGAGGATGCACTACGAGACCTGTTACACTCACTAGGTCTATATGCATTACTAGACATCATGGAGCCTTCTCGATATCCACCTCTCTGAGGCCCTTTCGTCATCAATGATTGCGTTTTACCCTCAGACTGCTCTATTCTAGGGGTGAGATTCAATATACTGGCAAACTTGATCATAGATTGATTGACACTATCTTTTACTAGTTTCAGGATATCATCAAACCTTGGCTCGATACCCTCATCCTCCATACGGGAGCTTATCTTCACCCACTTCCTTTGCAGTCGAGTAGGTAGGCGTCTCGCTATTACCTCCAAAACGGAACTTGAGTTCAGATCGCTCATGCAATTCATCGAAATCAACGTATTCTTGCAAGTCATCAGATTATCCGGATACTCAGTAATTGCTTTGGAGTCATCTTGTAATTGACTACCATTATCTTTAACAGCCTCGAATACG